GTTTTACATTAATGGACAAGAGCTGGAGAAACTACATATGAAGAAGGTCTGTGTTTGCCGTTCCTTTTTCCGGAGGCTATTCCTCTCATCCATAGCAAAGAGGGATCAAAAAAGCAATTTTTAATGTTTATCACTTCATTTCAGGTGAATGAAAATCATGATCAAATGAATACTGCCCATGACCTCCACCCACTGCAGGACATGTACTATTTAATGACTCAGTGAGGAGGGTTCCCATAAGTCAGCCAGTCTGTACAAAGGCAAGAAACTAGTCACAGTGCCCGCTTCCTGCAAATCGTCATTCCCTTCCTTAATGGACCTGTTGAAAGCATGTCAAATACTAGGTGGACCTAGCAGTTTGCAGCCAAGTTTCTCCTCCCATTTTCTGAGTGCTCTGCCATAACTCCCTCTAATCCTTGGCCAAGAGAGACAGCAACCAGCACTTTTTGAATATCTTGCTGGATTCACGGTTCAACGAGGCCCAAAGAAGCAGGATGGCAACCTGAGCATGTAAACAAACAAAAGCCTGCAGCCTCTCCAAAAGCTTAGTCCCTACTTGCTAGAGAAAACTCCTCCCAGTGTGTTCAGGGGTTTTAGTGCTGCTTTCAGACAGCACAAAGCCTTCATGACAGTGAATGGCAACTCCAAGCTTTTAACGATTTCCCAGGAAACTCCATCCCCAGACTAAATAATGTACACATGGTAAAACTTCACCATATCTTGCATTTCAGCAAAAAGACCCCCAGTACAGCAGAAGGCCCTTGGAAGGAGCATGGGGAACAATCACGACACTAGTGTTCTCAATCTAAAGGCTCACAGAAACAGACAGATTCCCTGACTTTCCTTCTCTTTCAGAAAAAAATGCACATGAATTGTTTTTCAAGTCTATGGAAGAAAAAGATACATTTCCAAACTGTACATCAAGGTCTTCGCTCTGTAGGTTAAATGTTTTTTATCCTCTAAATTAATCAACAGGAAGAGCTGCCTGTTTCAGGTAATGAAGCCTCAGAGGGAAAGTCAGCTAATGAAAGACCTAGCATCAAGAAACCTGTCAAAAATCCTAACTCAACATGCATTTCCTAGTAAGACTACAGACAAAAAGAGACGGAAATAGAAACCAAACAGGCAAACTAGGTCAGTTCCTGTTAGGACAGGCAAGCTGACTCTATGGTCTCTCTATCTAGAGCTCCCCACACTCACTCTGAATGATGCCCATTTGAGTGCTGCTGTGGACCTTCGCTTTTCTGCACCTTGCAGTTTCACGTAGGTAGTCTGCAACACACATGCAGATGGTTCATACCCACTTGCTCTTGTGCCAACACTGTCATTTAGATGAAAGGGTTGGTTTTTCCTCCTCATTTTTCGCTTTCCAAGAGTCTCTTGGAATACAGCTGCATGTAATGCAGTGTTTCAATGAATACTTCAAAGACCATTATCAATACTTCAAAGGTTATTGTGAGCAGCCCTGCGGAGAAGGACTTGGGGATGATGGTTGATGAAAACCTCAACATAAGCCAGTAGTGTGCACTTGCAGTCCAGAAAGCTGACTGAACCCTGGGCTGCATCAAAAGGAACATGGCCAGCAGGGCAAAGGAGGTGATTCTGCCTCTCTGCTCTCATGAGACCCCACCCAGATACTGCCTGCACCCACTTCTGGTGCCCCCAGCACAAGTTGGACATGGAACTGTTGCAGCAAGTCCAGAGGAGGGCCACAAAGTTAACAAGGAGACTGGAGCACCTCCTCTAAAAAGACAGGCTGAGAAAGTTGGGGCTGTTCAGCCCGGAGAAGAGGATGTTGCATGGAAACCTCACAGCAACCTTCCAGTATCTGAAGGGGGCCTACAGGGAAGCTGGAGAGGAACTCTTCATCAGGAATTGTAGTGATAGGACAAGGATTAAATGGGTTCAAACTGAAGAGGAGAAATTGATGTTAGATATACGGAAGAAATTCTTTTCTGTGAGGGTGGTGAGGCACTGGAACAGGTTGCCCAGAGAAGTTGTGGATGCCCCATCCCTGGGAGTGTCCAAGGCCAGGCTGGATGCTCTGAGCAACCTGGACCAGTGGAAGGTGTCCCTGCTGCAGGAGAGGGGTTGGAACTACATGATCTTTAAGGTCCCTTACAACTCAAACCATTCTATGATTCTAGACACAACAATGAAAAAGAAAAGTCCCAGACTGCCACTTTCAAGAGACTCTTTTCTTACCCCTTGCCAGTCTTCTTGTACCAGTGTACCTGTCTTCTGCAGTTGTCCACCTAACAGAATCTGTGAACCAACCACCTCAGAAGCAACCCACCAAAACAAGGCTTTCTTTTGGTCACCTCAGTTCCCCATTTCAGCTTACCAAACAACTGCCTCTGCTCTCCAGTTGTGAAGAGGAAAGAGAGGAAAAGGGAAGAATGTTCCTATATTCACAGAGGTGAATACAGCCTCTAAATCTATTTTGTTAGCCTACCTAGTCAAGCTCTTCTATATTCTTCTCAAATACAGGCAGCTCAAGGACTATCTCATCCAATCCTGGAAGTGACACAGAGGATCCACATCCATTGTTCTGAAACGTGGATCAGAATTTGTATACATCAATAAACATATTATTACATTATAGGACTACATCCATTGTCACTCTTTCCGTCAAATCACATCACTTTTGTGACTTATCCTTGATCATATGTGGTCTCTTTTCTCTTCCAGAAGTCTTCTCATGTCAATTCCTAAGCTTATACTATTATTATTTATTCCTATTGCACAACTTCATCATACACCCCATTTCTATCATTCTAGCATTCCTTATCATCCAGCTCTTGCACAACATTTCAGTCTTCCTTTATAATAGACTCCTCAAGTTTGCTCATTATACTTCAATTTTATCGTGTAAACAATACTAGCACCACTTTCAGTCTTGAGAAACACCCCTTGCAAGCACCTTTCAAGCTAATAGTTCCTCTTCTGACTCAAATCTATTCTGCTTCCTCTTCTCCATGCTACACTTTACCCAAGTACCAGCATTTACACTAATTCTCCAGTATCTCCACCTTAAAAAAAATAATGTGATCTGTTATCAAGTTTCTGGCAGATGAGAGTTACTCCGTTTCTTTCACAGATAAAAGAATTCAATCACTTATTCTTACAAAAGATGCAGGTCAGTCAGGCACAATCTATCTTTAGCGAATGCACATAGGACTCAGTCTACTTAGTGTCATGATATTAATTAATTCTTTCCTTCAAAAATTCTCTAGAGCCTTGCATACTACTGATGTCAAACTCATTAGGCCATAGCTGCACAGCTCCCTGCCTCCAGTTCTTTCAGGAAACATTTTCCATGGTTCAATAACAAATCTGCTAAATCAGAGGCAGAATATCAGAATATCAGATTATCAGATTTCTGGTTAGATTTCCCCTAGGAAGTCTGGCTGTTTGTGGTTCTACCAACTGTCATTCCATTCCTGCAGTTCTTCTTCCTGTGACACGGCTACCCTGTCCCCTTCCTAAATTGCCATCCTCTTCAACTTCTCCAGGTAATTTCTTGAGATACTTAGAGAAAACTGTGGTTCAGAGGTATTCTGACCCAATTTTTGACAACATCCCAAAACATACTTATACAAACATTTTACTGGCAACAAAATAAAATTCACTGCTACTAATTTATATTTTGGGGGGTTGTTTGTTTTCTTTTAGTTTGGGGGGTTTTTTTCCTTTTTTTCTCTTTGCATCACGACCGCCTAATGTACAAGAAAAGAAATATAGACCCCAAAAGGAGAACAGAAGCAACAAAAGCCATATCTGCTTTTGTCTCCAGCCTAGGCCTTTTCCAAGAGGGCAACAAGAAGTTGAGGGCAAAAACATTCTCTTCCTCCTACAGACACCCAGTTAACGCTCATCCGCTAACAGTCTTTGACAAGAAAGTCTGATAAATATCACAGACTTTGCATACTAGATGATCTAATTACTTCACAGGAACTGATCCTGTGAACATCCATATGTGAACAGCCCCCAGACACCCTGAGGAGAAAGGATGCATTACAAAACCATGCACATCTTCCAGAAATAGAGATTGAAGAATATATACTAGGAGTTACTGCACTCCAGCCTCCGCTGGCTGAGGAACTGTTACCCGTTTCCATGTTACGCTTGTTTTGTTTACTCAAGCACTAATTTAATTTTCAGCTACCTTTTATAGAATGTGTTCATGTTAGATCAAGAATAACCATCACATTCATTAGTGTTTTGGCAATTTCGGTAAAGACTAAGAATGCTCCATGGAAAAACACTCACTGGAAATCCAACATTATATCCATCTGCCCTTGTCACAGCAAAGCAATTGCATGTGCAGGCCAGATGGGCAACTGCATCTCCTGCTTCAAGGGTTAAGGAAAATAAAATAAGAGCATAAAATACCTGTGAAATACATAACATAAAATCCTTCTACCTTACAGGCCACATGAAGCAGTCAAGCATTTATGAAAGAGGGGATGAGACAAGCAAAGAAAACTAAAATCCAGGGTGGACTTGTACCCTGGAGCTGTTTGGTACAAGATGTATCTGTGAGCGCTCAGTGCGGCGCTGCCCGGCTTAGCCGGCAGAAGAGAGGAAGGTAGATTAAAACACCATTTGTTTGTTTGTTTGTTGTCTCAGAGTTGTCTGTCTGAGTGCATTAAGCACGCTTCCCGCAGCCACAGGAGAACAGGGGGCCGGCGGGGTGAGCTCTGGCTCCCGGCGGGAGCGCCGAGGCGGGGCGGGGGCGGGCACGGACGTAGCTCCATAACCACGAACTGCTCGGGGCGGGCCCAGCCGGGCAGCCCCAGCCCGGTCCAGGGAACCCCCCGCCGGCGTCCAACCCCTCCTGTACCGCCCCCTGAGCTACAGCGAAGCTCCCCCGGCCCCGCCAGACGCGCCCCTCCCGCAGGGGCTCCAGCAGCCGGGCAGGCGCCGCTCGGCGCGGGGGAGGGCCGGGAGGAAGGACCGCAGGGGAGAGGCGGGAGTTCAGGCGCCCCCTCACTCACCTGGCAGCCCTTCTTGTGGTGGAAGCCCACCACCACGATGTGCAGCACCGGGCCCCGCTTCTCCATGGAGCAGCCCGGCGATGGCCGCGCCAGAGGATGCCGCCGTGCCCGGGCTCTCGCTCCGCCTCCCGGGGTCCGGCAGGGACGCAGCCCCGGCCGCCTGCGCTTCCGCACCGGCCGACCCCGGGAGGGCGGGAATGGCGGGTGGCACCGCCCTCCGCCCGCCCCTCACCGCACTGCTAGCGTGGGGTCACCGAGTCACTGAGTTAGTTAGGTCGGAAAGGACCTCCGAGATCGGCGAGGCCAACCTATAGGCCTTCCAGGTTAATGGCAGCCTGAAGCGGAGTCTGGGATTGTTTCAGTACAGTTTAGTCAGTTGATGAAGGTTAAAAATGAGAAAAAAATCAAGTTAGGGCTTCTTCCCTTAGCACTGTTTTGCTGCTAATCCTCTGAGAAAAGGAGGCTCAGGGTGGGTCCTCATCGCTCTCTACAACTACCTGAGAGGAGGTTGTGGTGAGGTGGGGGCCAGTCTCTTCTGCTGTTCCTGCAGCGAGAGGACAAGAGGAAATGGCCTTAAACCAAGACAGGGGAGATTCAGATTAAATGTTAGAAAAAGAATTTTCACTGTTAGGGTGGTCAGGCATTGGAACCTGTTGCCCAAGGAGGTGGTGGAGTCACCATCCCTGGAGGTGTTTACGAGGTGTCTGGATCCAGCGCTGGGTGATGTGGTTTAGTGGTTTAGGGGTTACAGTGGTGATGCTGGGTGGATGGTTGGACTGGATGATCTCAAAGGTCTCTTACAACATTTATGGTTCTGTGATTCTCTAAATGTGTTAGGAGGCCCTAGAAAGAAGACAGTTCAAAGAATTGTCCAAGAGCACAGACAAATTTAGAGAAAGAGAAAAAAAAATTAAAAATCTGTATGTTACGGCACTCAGACCATGCTCCCTCTTTAATCTTTGTTATGATTCAATTCTGTCTGCTTGAATCAGCAGCATTTGGCAGAGGCTCTATTCTTAATAATTAAGATTCTCTGTGGAAATTGGAGGAAGATAATCTTTTTGAAAGAACTATAAAAGAATAGTGCTTAAAGAAAATCTCATCACTAACATGGTACCCAGAGGCTCGAATTGTAACAATAAAGCATGTAATTACATATTGTTTCACAGCTCCAACAGAAGTGCTGTTACAGAAAAACTATACTGCAGGAAATACAGGAGAAGCTACAAGGAACAATCCTAGCAAGGGAATCTTTTCCTACTAGTTTTAGCCTGTAACTGACTGTTTAGTATAATTTCAAAAAAAGAAAAATGTATGCAGTATGGGTCATTATCTCCTGCAGTAATGAGATATCCCCAAAAACATGCATAGGAGTGTTTATGGTTCATTCTCAGTTCATTCAGGAAAGTGCAGTCTGGCATCACTGTTATGATATGGATTATGCATTACAGGGGCATCTCAGTGATACTACTGGATAATGGCTTCTTTGAGTAGATTATTAGATTTTTTTTTTGTACTTGAAATTCTCTTTCCTGCTAAAGCAATAAAAATGTTGAACTGACAACATCAGTCTGGTCTAGGAAAACTAACTAGTTGACATCATCTATGTTGTTTTCACAGCTCACATTGTGTGTATTTATGAGGAAGAAAGGAAAGTGAGAGCTGCTATGAAACAGAGGCTTGTGGAAAAGTCTCAGTCAGAATTTTCCTGAAGGAATTTTCTTTCTCTGTGCATAGCTAACAAATAGCAATGAAAACTCAGCTCTACAGGTCTTCTGTTACTTATAGGTAATATTTTGCTTAAGAAGCACCAGCTGTGGTGTCATTACAGTAGCAATCATAATTTGTTAGTCATTCTTCAATGCATACCAGTAATGCAAAGTTCTCAACTTGGCTTATGTGCAATGAGATTTGTAGAGATGGATAAGCCTTTCCTTGGCAGTACGATAGTTTATGTCTGGAAGTACCACCAGATGTAAGCAGTGCCCATGGTAGCTGATAGCTCTTGATTTGTTAGGTATAGCCCGGCTTTCTAAAGAACAAAACTGTGAATTTGTGGAGACAAACATGTCCTTGGATTTCTGTTGAAGAAAAGCATAAATTAAACCCTGGCATGGATTTGAGGTTTGAAAAATAATTTATTCTAGATGGTAATCTCACTTGGTGTTTGTAGTAGATTTTTTTTTAAGCTCTTATCCCAGATTTTAGAAAAAACGATTTGTATGCAGTAAGGTTCATAACAGTGGTTGGGATTATGATCTCTCACTTGGAAACTCCTGTAAAAGAAATACAAAAGAGAAAAGACTACAAAACAATTGATTGGACATAAATTTAATGAACCTCCCACAACATTAAAAATGGGAAAACATTTTACGAAGACAAAAATTTTAGATTATGTGAAATATGCTCAGCCATCATGCAGAAATGAACCACACACCAGTGATACAGAGGTATTCTCAATGAAGGGAGCGTGTTCCTGCAGCATTCCAGCCTGGTGCCTCAGAAACTTGCCATGTACTAGCAGCAGTACAGGCTGCAAGGACACTCGAGTGACTGACTTTTTCTCCCTGCTCTTGCAGCATGTGGACAAGTGGTTCTTTGAGTTATTCACACTGATCACAGGCTGAAATTCATTATTTGTGAACTTCTCACCAGTTGGGATATGATCAACTGTTTAAAGGTTATTAGTTAGAAGATGAGTCTCTTCTTGCATCTCAGGTTTTGTGGAACTTCCCTCTCATCCTGCTTTGTTCCATTTGGAATGCAGCTTTAGTGCTCTTTGAAAGCCTTGCAGATGCTGTAATTCCAAAAGTAAAATAATTTTTTTTTTTAAGTCAACAGGACCAAATGTTATTTGAGTTGTGCATTTAGTTGGCATTTAGTGTGCATTTAGGGCACCATGACATAGGCGGTGATCCAAACAGGCTTCCCCAAGGAAGTAACGCATTTGATTCAGTGGGGATGATGGTGTCATTCTCATGGGATTCATAGAACTCTCAACCGTGCAGGCAAAAAAAGTGTAGGTTAGATTGTTAGGGAGGTTTGCAGGCACAAATGCAATGTATCTTCTCCTGCAACTTTGAAGAGGCTTAAATTTGGATGACTGAAACATTGGTCTTGGATCTTGACTGTTCTTCCCACACAAATACTCTATTACTCCTTTTTCTGTGCAGCTTGCTGAGGAACCTGAAGAAGCGCTGCTGCCATCACGTACTGTGTGATGGAGCATGGGACAAAGAGGTGCAAGCTAACAAGGCATAGCACAGCTCCTGCTGTGTCTTTCAGTCCACCTTCAACAACTGTAATGCTGCCTACACTCGGGAACAAGCTTTTGTGCATATGGTCTGTCTTTCTACAGTCCCTTGATTGCCACAGGGATGTCCTTTGCAATTCTGAGGCCAGACCTGGATGCCTTTCCCTCGGGAGTCACATAGTCCAGGGCCTCCTGCAAACATGTCCTGAGTCTCCTGTGTTGAATGTAGGCTGCACTTGTGACTTGTGGTGTTTACTGAGGACAGATTTGGAAGGAGTCAGGCCTATCTGTCTCAAGAGCTGATCCAGGCTGCTCGATTTTGATGGAAGTCGTGTCAGTTGCTCCTGATTGTATATGAAATAAATAGAAATCAGGTTAGATTTGCCACTAATACAGCTCAAAATCTTCTGTTAATCCTAAATTAGTCACTGCTGCTTTTAGGGCCATTAGTTAATGAAAATGCACTGAAGGCTGTAGTCAGTAAGACAAATATAATGTTGAGTAATGCCAATTGCATTCTAACGGTGTGAAAATGGATCCCATTTTTTCCTCTTAAATTGTGGAAGAAGGGCAGTTTTCCCTTGGGGCCACTCTGCTCCAGAAAGTGCCTGGATGGAAACAGCTGCCCAGGTACAGCAGTGCTCCTGCCTGTGTATGTTCCAAACTGCCTTTTTCCAGCTTGCTGCTTCTCAGTCTGTCAGTCATTTACCTGCAACTCATCTGTGAGTGAATGAGTATGGCAGATGAGTTGGAGGGGGAACCTTCAGGCCCTGGGAGTTAGTCCATTACCTGGAAGGTGCATGCTCTTCCCCCCTGCCCCTGCCACATGGCTCTGTGACCCCGTAAGGATCACACACACAGACGACCAGGGAGGGACTGACGAAAGAGGAAAGGAGGTTTATTGTGGGGATAGGGGTTTATAAGGCTATTGGGAGGGTCAAAGGGGACCAATCACAGGTGTAGGGTCTTACAGGAAAACCAATCAGGTAGGGAGTTAACAGCCAATAGGAAGGGGTTAACAAAAGGCCAATGAGAACACCTCAGGACATCTTCCCAGGACACTCCTGCCTGGGAGATAAGAGGTCTTTACAGAGGGTGTTGGGAAGAAGGAGCAGTGACTTTGCAGAAATGCACAAAGCCATCTTAAGACATGTTTAAACAACATTAAAAACTCCTGTTTCTATAACATTTGAGCTGTTTTCTTCTTTTTCTTCACCAGTCCATCTTTGACAGGACTTCTTCCATAAATCCATTGCCACAAATGAGGGCTATTTTGTGCTAGCCCATGTTGCTGAATCGAGTTTTCTGTTCTGTCTCTGAGTGCAATAAAGCAAGGCAAGCGCTAGAAAAGACAGAACTGGAAGAACATGAAAATAAACTAGTAAAATAAATGATGCAGTAGTTTGGATTTTGTTGCTCTAAGCAGGTGAGATATGAGGTATCAGATAAAAAGAAACAAAAAGTCCACAAATAAATCCCCCTAAACCAAACCAAAAAGCTCTAATGTTTTTCCTTATGTATAGAGCAAACTTGATAGGGAGTCCCTTGAGGTGTGCCAAGACTGTCTGTTTAGTGTGTTCCCTTGTTTGCTGCGAGCCCTGGGCTCCAGTAACCTGTGCTGGATACCTCCCAGTCCACTCCATGGCTCCACGTGCAAGCAAACCAAATAGGGCTGTTGATTAGAAAACAATGTGTAAAAAAATAGTTGACACCATGGCTGTGGGATTAAAGAACTTAAAACCAGAGGAGTCAGGAGTTTAAAGTCAGTGTTAGAGTTTTATTTTTTGCGACACTTCGCTGACTCCATCTCTGGGAATGTTCAGTGCTAGGTTGGATGGGGCTCAGAATAACCGGGGCTAGAGAAAGGTGTCCCTGCCCAGGGGCGCTTAGGACTGGATGATCTTTAAGGTCCCTTAA